TATTATTTATATGATATTATAAATATACTAATTATTATGATGGTGATAATTGAAAATATTAAATGATATTGGTGTTTTAATAAATTTTTATGTATTTATTTAAATTTATAATTATATTTAAAATAAATATAAATAAAAAATATTATATATCCTTGGCTCAACGAGCCGGCTCGTTCAGATCGGAAAATTAGTGAGCGATCTGAGCTGAGGTTTTTCTGGCTCGTTAGAAAACGAGCCTAACGAGCTGAGCCCAAAACGATCCGAGCCAAATGAGCCGAGCCCAAAATGATCCGAGCTGGCTCGTTTGACACCCCTAGTTTACACACACGTATATATATATATATATACACACATACATATTACAATATTTTAAATTTCAATATATAGCCGACAGTTTTGGTAATTTTGACACTCTTGCTGTCTTGAAAAGGATTTTCATTCTTTTGAGGAAGGTGGGGCAAAGTCGGAAGGGAACGAGAGAAAATGTGGTGAAATTAGGGTTTTGATGTATTCTTCGTTCACTGCATACGGATTGAGCTTTGAGCAGAGAGATTTTTTCGAGTGAAACCATGGCTAGTTCGCTTAGTCCTTCTTAAGCTCCGCGTAAAGTTTTCATCTTTCGTGTTGGTATGCGTCTTCCCTATTCCTTTCCTCGAGCATTCGGGTTTGATTTCAAGTTATTTGCATCGGTGTGATACGGTTGAATCGTCGTATTGGTTTCAGTTAGGGTTTTGGGTTTTTTGATTAATGGGAGGTTTTGGTTTTGGATTAGTTGGAATAAAGGTTGTGGTTTTGGTTATTTCGGAAGCAGGTGACTGGAAAATGTTTGGTTTTTCGTGTCGTAGCATATGATGGAATATATTTTGAAGTTTTTGCTCTGTTTATTTATACAGAATGGTCTATATATGAACAATTCGGATGAATTCGTAGAGCGTTGTTGCTCTGTTCCTCTCAAAGTATGAAAAAGTGCATTTTTTTTCGTTATGGCTCGATGATTGTTGCTGCAATTTTTATATATCTTTCCCATGTAGCTGAATCATGTTGTTTCTCTCCGTCTCTTTTGTGGCAGCTTAGTTATTGGCCGCTGTGCGGTTACTCTGCCTTCTCAAAGGAGTGCTGAAGCAAATTTCTATCTCAAAGTTTTCTACTTTTTCATATGATCCTCTGGTTAAATATGTCTAACTTGTTGGATATGTCAATTAGGGTAAGTTGAAGCATTTTGTTGTTGTGATGGATAAACCTGGACCTCAACAACTGTTCCAGCACTCTTGCATGGAACCTGGATTTGGAAATGAGTCTGTCTCTCAGGGTTTTATGCCCGAGCAAATGAGCAGCATGAATTCAAATGCCCGACCTTCCGTGTCGAATGCTTCAGATGCTAGGCCGGGGCTTAATTATTCAATGCAAACAGGAGAGGAATTTGCCCTCGAGTTTTTGCGAGACAGGGTAAATTCTCAAAGGTCTTCGAATGCCCCTACCGCTGGTGACGTGAATTACACCACAGGTTATTTGGAGCTAAAAGGCATTCTGGGCATCAGCCACACAGGATCTGAGTGTGGTTCGGATGTTTCAAGGTTGAGTATGGTGGAGAATGGAATGAGGGAGTATGAAAGGACAAACTCTTCCCTTCATGAATTCGGGAATAGACTTGGGCATATGCAGCCAGGACCACAAGTTTCATTAAGTAAGGGTAGTAGCCAAGAGAATTTACATGGGTATGCGTCTTTTTCAGTGTCGGGTAGTTTAACAGCAAAAATGAAGGTCCTTTGCAGCTTTGGCGGGAAAATACTTCCACGTCCGGGTGATTCAAAGCTTAGATATGTTGGAGGTGAAACACATATCATTTCCATAAGAAAGGACATATCTTGGCAGGAACTCAAGCAGAAAATTCTTGTTATCTATGACCAAGCTCATGTTATGAAGTATCAGCTTCCTGGGGAAGATCTCGATGCTTTGGTGTCTGTTTCTTGTGACGAGGATCTCCAGAATATGATAGAGGAGTGCAATGAGATGGAAAACCGAGGGGGTTCTCAAAAGCTTAGGATGTTTCTGTTCTCCATTAGTGATTTGGACAATGCTAACTCTGGAATGAACAGAAGTGGCCGTGATTCTGAGTTCCGATATGTTGTAGCTGTAAATGGAATGGACATCGAATCAAGAAGGAACTCAATGCTTCATGGGATGGAAGGCTCTTCTTCAAACAATTTAGCCAAGTTGGATGCAAGGCACTCTGAGGAGACCAATGGTGGTGCTGGAAATGTTGTTGGAGTTCCTACTTCACAGTTAATGGGTATTGGTTTCCCGCCATCCTCTATTCAATACTCTCAGTCTATTCCTCCAAGTTCCTCACTTCAGTATTCTCTATCTATTCCACCACCAAATACTTCACTTCAGTATCAGCAATCCATTCCACCAAGTTCCACTCTTCAGTATTCCCAGTCCATTCCACATAGTTCCTCACTTCAGTATTCCCAGTCTGTTCTGCCAAGTACGTCTTTTCAATATCCACAGTCTATCCCACCGAGTTCGTCAAGTTCCTATGGAATATATCCCCCGTTATATGGGCATGTAGTTCAGCATGGAGAAAGGGAACTGTTTTCAGTACACCATCATCAGAGTTCTATGCCTTTCCAAGGGGTTGTTAATCAGCAGGGCGGCTGGACTGAAGGGCAGCCATATCCTGGCACCACACCTCAAAACGCACCAATGCTTGTGAAAGAGCTTAACGTAAAACATGATACAGAATTTCATGAAGGTGTAGAGCCTGAAAACTCTCATCTTTTGGGAACCGACCACCAAAATCCTGCTCAAATGGGTGATGATGAGGTGAAGAGTAACAGTCAAATTCTAGAGGCATCAGTTTCCACAGCCGTACCTAACCAAGACTTGCATTTACTCCCCCCGAGAAGGGATACCCGTCAGAACAATCCTGTGAAGCCTGCTACCTACCGTGATGCCGTTACTGCTGGTCAGGTTCCTCCTGCATCTGGTGATAATGACCAGCTTTCAACATCAAGTGGTGCCTGTGGTCCAGCTCACATCGACTCGGAGTCAAATTTGATCGACCTTAACTATCCTGAACCTGTACAGCCCCTACAGAGGGTGTACCGTTCAGAGAAAATACCCCGTGAACAGTTAGAATTGCTAAATCGCTTGTCGAAGTCTGATGATTCTTTAGGTTCTCAGTTACTAATGTCCCATTCACATTTGAATGCTGGGCAGCAAGATCTGGAAAACGAATTGGATGGCAAGTCACGTGAAGATTCTCAAATGGTTCACGATGTTACCCTTCAGATGCACAAAGATGTGGACACAATTTCCGAGGAAGTAAGTGCATCGGATGAAGCCCTGGACTCTGGGTCGAGGCATAGAATTCCAAACTTTGATACTGCAAACAGGGGCAAAATCTTGAATACTCCAGACATTGAAACTGAAACTCCCGGTATGAGCCATGTAGACTCAATTGTGGATCCAGCTTCTTCGGGTGTGGCTGCTTCGCAGCAGGGAGATATTCTTATTGACATCAATGATCGATTCCCACTGGATTTCCTTTCTGAAATATTTTCAAAGGCAATTTCTGAGGATACAACCGGTGATCTTCAATATCGGCATGATGGAGCTGGTTTAAGCTTAAACGTGGAGAATCAAGATCCCAAAAATTGGTCATATTTTCAGAAGCTGGCAGAGGAGCAGTTTAGCCAAGGAGATGGTTCTTACATTGACCAAACTGGCTCCGGCTTTCCAGCTGAACTTAAAGATGGTGGAGATATCTCTAAGTTACACCACATTACGCCAGTGACTACAGCTGGCATTTCCATAAATCTTACTGATTCACAGATGAATTTAGGTCAAGATTATGGGGATGATAGTGCTGCTAGGGGTAGGGTTGGTGATGATACCATTCCCCCTGATCACAAGCATGGACAGATGAAGGTCATGGAGAGTGAGGAGTTCAGCGCTATGGTGGAGAATCTCAGAACATCAGATTTTGATAAACAGGTATCTGTTTGTTGATATTCTGATTCTGGAAATTGGAAAACCATGAGCTTCATTAACAGGCATGTCTACTTGTTTATAGGATGAAAAGATAGAATTTAGGCAGGCTGGCCTTCCTCCTCTAGATCCATCTCTGGCGGACTTTGATATCAATTCCTTGCAGGTAAAACCAGGCCGAGATTCACACTGGTTTCATTTATGTGCTTGCATTTAGCCTTGTCTTTTCGCCCGTATTCCTTGTGTTTGTTTTTCTTTGCTATGTTTCTGTATATGAATTTTCGGCTTCTACCCATATCTACTCGTAATATGCTTGAATCGACTTATTTAAAACTTACAAGTCACCGGATTGATCTGGTCGTGCTGTTCTAAAATGTCATTAGATTATAAAGAATGATGACCTTGAAGAGCTGAAGGAGCTTGGTTCTGGTACTTTCGGCACCGTGTATCATGGGAAATGGAGAGGATCAGACGTTGCCATCAAGAGGATAAAAAAGAGTTGCTTTGCCGGACGGTCATCTGAGCAGGAGAGATTGGTAAAGTGCTTCTGACCATGTTTTCTGCATTGTCATTTTAAGGAAAGATCTTTTGAGAATGTCCAAATCATTGGAAATTGCTTCTGTCTTGTTCTTAGACTGTTGAATTCTGGCGGGAGGCTGAGATTCTTTCGAAGCTTCATCATCCGAACGTGGTGGCATTTTATGGAGTTGTACAAGATGGACCTGGAGGAACATTGGCTACTGTGACAGAATACATGGTTGATGGCTCTCTGAGGCATGTTTTAGTCCGCAAAGATAGGTAAAGTTCAATAACTTAGACTTTAGGCTGTCACTGTTAATACATTTCTTGATGTAAGAGATCTCTTTTATCATTTGGGTGGTCAAATTTTTAGGTACCTTGATCGCCGGAAGAAACTAATCATTGCTATGGATGCTGCGTTTGGGATGGAGTACTTGCACTCGAAGAATATTGTCCACTTCGATTTGAAATGTGACAATTTACTCGTAAACTTGAAAGATCCTTCTCGCCCTATCTGCAAGGTAATGAAAACACTATGGTTTCGACCCCATATGCACCGTCAGATTCATAGATGTCGTCTTTTCAATGAACACGACCCACCCTGACCCTTTTCTATTTGTGCCATTTGTCATGTGTTGACACTTCCCGTTTGTTATTTTTATTTTCAGGTTGGTGACTTTGGCTTGTCGAAAATCAAGAGAAATACGCTGGTATCTGGCGGTGTTCGTGGAACCCTTCCATGGATGGCTCCAGAGCTTCTGAACGGCAGTAGCAACAAAGTGTCAGAGAAGGCAAGTTTACAACTTTTTTGAACTTTTTTCGTGATGCACCTTTAAAGGGAAACTCTTTTGCATTTCCTTGCACTACATTCGAGATCCAAACTCTTCTGCAGGTTGATGTATTCTCATTCGGTATCGTCTTGTGGGAGATTTTGACGGGAGAGGAACCTTACGCTAACATGCACTATGGTGCCATCATAGGTGAGTTTTTTTATCAGTTCAAAAACCAAATCAAAACCCGATGTATGTATGTATGTATATATGTATATATATATATATATATATATATATATTAGTTTGGTGCATTCATTTTGTAGTATCTGCAAAAACTTATGGTGGGGAATGGCGGAAAATGCAGGTGGGATAGTGAATAACACACTGAGGCCAACGATACCGAGTCACTGTGACTCGGAATGGATGGAGCTTATGGAGGAGTGTTGGGCTCCGAATCCGGTGGCCAGACCTTCCTTCACCGAGATAGCTGACCGTTTACGTGTCATGTCCAATGCAGCTTCGTCCAGCCATACCAAAGCACACGCCCACCACAAGGCCTCCAAATGATACAATAAACGGTAGAAATAAAGGAAGAAGGTTGCTTTTTTTTTTTCATGTGAAAGGGAAGAAAAGGAAAGGAAAGCCAGTTCTCATTCTTTCTATTTTCTGGGTTTATTCCACTTTGGTATTTTAGATCAAAGGAGGGAGAGGGAGTTTCTTGATCCTTTCTCTTATTCTTTTTCTTTTACCCTTCTGAAAAAACAAATGAAAAAGGAAGAGATATTTTTTTGGTAATATATCAACATTAGATATCATCTTCTGTTTTCACATTTCTCTTTCTCTTGTGCAAGTGTCCCCATGCTTTTTTTCACATTCAAGAAAGTTGCCAACTTTGGTTGTGTGAGATAACATTCATCAAGAGTAATAATGTCAAAAAGGGTAATGCATTCAGTTCATCGTTGATTCTCTGGCCAGTGTGAGCTTTGAAGCTTTGTTGAACATTTTGAGCAAATAAATCAAAAGCTGAGGAGGCAGAAAGAGGGAGCTGCTAATCAAAATGCAGCTCAGTGATAGATTTTCACAAAGGATGCTCTCATTCACTCTGGTTTTTCTGCAGTTTTTCGCTTTTTGCTCCGTTTCTTCAGCAAACCTTTCTCTGCAAGAGTCTTTCGTTTCTGTTTCCTCCGGTCCTTCACCTTCTCTTCAAATCCTTCATCCAACATCTTCATCATTGCCACCCGTTTTGCTTTCGACACCTGCAATAGTCAATCCCCATAAGGATCATGTTCTTGGTTGCAAATGGAAAAAGTGACACCAGTAGGAACAGAATCTATCCATCAGGCAATGCGGGTTACTAACTAGGATCAAAAGCGTCATCATCATGTTCCGAATGTCCATGACAATAACACATAGATTCATTCCCATTTGTTTTTTCAAGGAAAACTAGAAGGCATGAGCCTCAACTGTAACAATAACAGAGCGGTTAAAACAAGATAAGAAACTTTCATGCATTCCACAGTGAATCCCTCTTACCCTTGTGACTTCTGAACTGTCAGTGATTTCTTTATAATTGTACAGTTCTAGTTGCTTTCCAAGCTCAGCTTCTATTTCATGGATAAGATCCACATCAGTCTGCAAAGAAGATTTTAATTTAGAGACACCCATGAATATGAACTCGAAAAGTCCGATGCTTTATATAGGTACAGAGATGCTATTTACCTCGGTGATAATGCTAACAGCCAGACCTCCTCTCCCAGCTCTAGCCGTACGTCCAACACGATGAACATAATCTCTCGGATATCTGCCACATGAGATTGCAAAAACCATGGTTTTGATATGCTTTTCAGTACATTACTACATTGGTAAGAGAACTATTCAACAAAAGTTACCTCGGGATATCATAATTGATGACAAGATCAACAGTAGGGATGTCCAACCCGCGACTGGCAACATCTGTAGCAAGCAGTATCGAAACTTTTCCAGACTTAAATTTGCTAAGGGCAGAGAGCCGTTTAGACTGAGAATTCAAAGAATGCAAAGCAGCATTTTCTACTTCAAGCTCTTCCAACATGAGACTTAGTCGTCCACATGTCCTGCTTCCATGAAATCCGCGCAAAACAATGTCTAAATCAGATCCAGAAACACCGGTCATGAAAAAAAAAGATATCCGTCAACATTAAATTAATAATACAGCACGAGTATATGACACACGACCTGCATGTTGAGACAAATATCATGGCAGAGCGAATACCCATCTCTTCCATTTTGGACAAAATGTGCACAAGATACAATTCCTTTGCATCTTTGTCTATGAAAATGTACTGTTGCTTCAGAGTGTCGACTGTCCTGAGACCTTCATAGGCTTCATAGAAATAAGCCTTGTTTGCAGAGAGTTCCAGCAATGTCTGCAAATTACTCGTCATTGTTGCAGAAAACAACAACGTCTGTCTAGTTTTAGGCAAACACTGGAAGATTGCTCGCAATTCCACTTCGAAACCAACATCTAGAACTCTGTCTGCCTCGTCCAAAACTAGAAACTGCCAAACACAAAACCAGAAACACATCGTGACTTAAGAATCTGATATATAAGCCTCAATGGCAGAAAAGTTGAAAACACGTTGATTATCAAAAAAACCCAATTGCTTATTCACCTTGGTTCTGGAGAAAATAGGAGGAATATCTGGATTTTGTTCCAGCAAAACCCTAATCCTGCCGGGAGTGGTGATGACTACATGAGGTCGAGTCACCAAGCTCCTCGTTTGCGTCAGCATATCCATACCTCCGACAACCGCAGAGCAGCGTAGGTTCAGGCACGATCCCAACGCCTTAAACTGCTCCGCTAGCTGGAACGCGAGTTCTCTGGTCGGCGTCACCACGAGAGCGAAAACACCATACGGATCCTCGGCGAGGCGGTGGAGGATCGGCAGAGCAAAAGCCGCCGTTTTTCCGCTTCCGGTCTGAGCGAGACCGAGCACGTCCCGGCCTGCGAGGATCTTAGGGATGCAGTTAGTCTGAACCTGAGTGGGTTTGCGCATGCCGAGCTCCTTGCACGTTTGCACGGCCCACTCGGCCAAGCCGAGGCCTTCAAACGTCGAGGCCGAGGAGGCGGCGGCGTCGGAGCCAGGGTTAGGGTTCGTGAATTTCTCGAATTCGGGGACATCCTGGTCGGGATCGCGTTTCCGGGGCAGAATTTGTTGCTGGGCTCTAGGGTTTTTGCGGGATTTAGCGATGATGGTGATACCACCTCCCTCAGCCGACGAGGGTTCTTCCATTCTGGAACTGAAGGAAAATCGAAAGTTTCTGCCTTTATGAAGGAAAAAACAGAGATGAATTCCGGGAAACCCAAGGAGGTTTATGGTAGAACAGGATTCAACCTTAAACCCTCATACTGCAGAGAGTAATTATTTATCGGTGTGCTTATATATAGGCAATTTCCTATTTTTTTTTTTCGGTTAGGAATGAAAAAAAGGGTTATGTTCTGCCTTGAAACATTATCCGAACTTTTTTTACGGAAATTTCTATCTATCTATGTCAAACAAATATCTAAATTTTGTAATTTAATAATACAACAGAACAGATTCAAAGTTCTTACCAACGGACAACAAAACAGAGTTAATATGATGCAGACAGAGTAAGAACATATAGAGGATCGATCCTAATGCACGACAAGGTCCTGAATTTGCAACTGCAGATGATTCCTCCATGGCCATTGCTCGGCACAAAGTTTCGAGCTTTTAAGGTGAATTCTCTTCTTCGATTGAAAGCAAGACTCTGACAATGCTGAAAACGTTTGGGGCAGTCAGGCAAAGAACAAGACGCTTCTTCTAGCCTCTGTGAAGAGGGGCAGGACGTAAATCAAGTGGCTGATACCTCACCCGATCCTTGTGAGGCAAAGGTTCCCCCTAACCAGATCAAAATCAATCCAAGAACAAATATCTATCATCAGATTCTGCTACTGTTTTGAGTTTCTTGAGGCGGGTTTAGCGGGTGGAGAAGAGGATGAACAAGACAGTGATCTAATCGTTACCTCGTCGGGATTTATCTGGAACGGCTTCACGAAATCCTCAAACATCACAGGAGAAAGACCCTTCATTTTCTCCTCAACTTCCTACAAGATACAGAGGAGGAGAAGAAAATTTGCTTGGTCAAACTGAATGAGGTTTTACTGTCAGAGCACAAAAGCCCGCGGGACTTCAGGAACTGTACCAATCCGGTTATCCTCGATTTCTCGAGTAATTCTCCCGCGATCAAGTCGAGTATGTGCCTGTTTGCTCTCAGAGCATTCACCGCGAGTTCTTCTGTCTCCTCGATATACTGTCATTGGCATTTAGTATCACATAGTAAATGTATCAATAATTCTATCTACATTTTGGCTTTAGAACTTTGATCCACACACAGAAATTTCAGTCTGAATTTGGTGAGTTTCTGGAGCCGAGAAAAAGATTATTACCCTTGTCAACTCGCGGGTGAATAACTCAGATACTTCAATCGACATATCTGCTGGAATCACATGAGGATCATCCCACTGGGAGCAGAGTAAAGAGTTAACGAACAAGAGAGAGAATAAGAGACTACCCACTAAAGAGAAGGCCACGTGTGATTAAATGCATTACCCTGAATTTCATCAGCTCGCCATCTGGGTTATCAGGTCGATTCACCAGTCCAAGCTTCTTCGTCAGTTGTGTGAGACCTAATCTTGCATTTTGGGGGCTAATCACCATCTCTCTACCAATCTAAAGATATGATACAATAACAAAGAGATGTTAACTCAAACGGGCCACTAAACTCGTTAAGAGAAGTAGCCGTTATTAGGAACTATACAACATCCGCAAGATCACCTTATCAATTCCTTGAAGCACCACTTACCTTGGTTATCTTCTCAAGGTCATCTTTTCCTCCATCAGTGACATCATCGCCAAAAACCACTCGTTCAGCACAACGCCCTCCATGGGCTACCACCATTTGCATCTTCATGTAGCCAAATGTGGTATAACCTTGGTCTACCATGTCTTCACGTGGATAGAAGACAGATATCGCAGTTTCCTGTGCAATTTCGAAGAAGGCTTTCAGTGAACACCCTCTCGCAAACCACACATGTTGAAATAATAACATAGAATTTGAACAAGAAAATTTGGAAACGAACTTTTCCACCGGGAAGGAGCTGAGAAAACGCATGCCAGTCAAATCGGGGAAACAAGTGAGCCAACACTATATGGCCGGCCTCATGAACTGCCAGAAGTCTTTTCTTTTCGTAAGACACCTGATGTTAAATAACTCAAGTGATCAGGAGGGATAGTTCAGTTTCAATGTTACGAAACAGTGTAGAAAAGGTGTCGGTACATACACTTTGTTCACATTTCTGTTGCTCTTCCTCTGTAAGAAGCACACCCATACCCTCTAGCAATTGTTTATCTAACACAGCAACAATGTCTTGCTGATATATCTTCGAATGACCCTTCCTTACCTGTTAAATTATGAATCTGGATATTACTAACTCATGGAAAATGCTTCCTAAGCATTCCATAGGTATGATGGGAAGTTGAGATCCAGCTATAAGTTGACTAAATAAGAATATCACATACCGACATAATCGCTGCTTCGTTAACAAGATTCCGAATATCTGCTCCAGAAAAGCCAACTGTGCGGAAGACAAGCTGAATGTGGAAAAGGGAAAACCCGGAGACGTAACCATGAATCAGTAAATACGGGTGTTTTATTGAGATTTATAGCTCGAAGCTATCAACGATTTTAGACATAAATAACAAAAGCACTACTTGCCTTTGCAAAGTCTACATCATCTGCAAGTTGCTTTCCAGCACTATGAACTCCAAATATTTGCACCCTTTGCTTTGCATCAGGCAAACCGATGTACAAACGACGGTCGATACGTCCAGGACGGACAAACTCAAGGTCCAGTTCATCAGGTCTATTGGTTGCACATATAAATATCACAGCTTGCCTCAAAGAAAAGCGGTCAACACCAGTCTTTTCCTTCCTGAAAGTAGTATGAGAATCTTGATATGCAAACTGAAGAAGCTTTGGGTTAAAGGGAACCCAGTCATTAACCTCAGTTGAAATTAAAAACGAAAAAAGAATAAACTTTCTCGATGTGAAGTGAAACCACTTACTCCCCATCAAGCTGTGTGATTAACGCCTCAAAAGTTGCTCTTCTTCGTGGATCTTTCCTCGCATGCCTACCAGCAATAGCATCTATTTCATCCACGAATACAAAAGCAGGTGCCTGAAGATAATATGTAAAATTATGATACTAATTCAAAATTCTTAGGCACGAAATCAGATCCACTATAATAGCAAATACAGAAGAAAGATAGACATAAGAAGGAACACCAATCAGGTGGTTCACACAATTAGAATTCTAAAATATATAAAAAAAAAATAAAGCTTTTAATTTTATGCACGTAAATAAGAGCATTTACATTTCTTCTTGCAACCGAAAACATCTCATTGATCCTTGCAGCACCACTTTTTTCACTGTCTGTGAACTCTGCACCAGAAGCAAAGACAAAGGGCAAACCACTTTCCTTTGCAAGTGTTCGAGCAAAAAGAGTTTTCCCTGTCCCGGGAGGTCCAGAAAGAAGCACACCCTGACACAAAACAGAAGGAGACAAGATTTTAGACTAGTAAGATTAATGCAAGAAATCCATTTTTCATACATCAATCTGGATGAAGACTATTTATTTACCCTGACAAACTTCACATCTCTTTCATAGTACTGCATTGGGTTTCTCATGTAGATCATCACCTCATCGAGAAGATCCCAGACATCACCCCCTAATACCACTTCCTTATACATTGATTTTGTCTCGCCGACATCTCCAACTGGCTGGATGAGAATTAAAAAAAAATGCAATCAAAAAATGAAAAGAATTGAAGAAAACAAAAAAACTAAGAAAAATGAGGCCACTGATTGTCTGAGTCATGAAAGTTTACCAGCATAAAGTTTTCAGCATAAGCCATATCAAACAGCTGATTGTACTTCTTATAGAGAAAACGTTTTGATGTGATAAGGAGAAGCATGGCGGATTCTCTTATAAACCATAAGATCAGTATGCCGGGTAGAAGTGCGATGACCACTTTCATGACATAATGGATCTGCTTTTTCTGAAGGAGATCCACCTCAACTCCTGAGTTTGAAATCATCTCAAACAAGTATGGATCTAAGGGAATGTCAACCTGAAAAAATGAGAGAAACATAAGATGGAACATAACATCAATCATTTCTAACACTTGACACGCTACGAGTTTCATTTTACTTACAACATATTCCAAAGGGAAACCTTCTTTCATCGTTACATACAGTCTCTTCAGGTCTTCAGTGAAAACAACAGCTGCAACCTGTGAAACAGCAGACCAAAACCACATAATAATAATAATAAGCGTTAGAGCTAGAAATATAATGTCATATCCTAAATAAGTCAGCTTCATATCATTTTCTAGCTACAAATATATATGCCCATCATGGTAGACTTACAAGTCATGCATATTGTCAACAGACATAACTAGCTTACAATGCCTAAAGCAGAACAAGAAAGAGAGAGGTTTAGAAATAGACCTCAGAAGAATCAAGCTTCTGAAGAAAGTAAGTATAAGGAAGTTTAGGACGATATCGCCACCACCTCTTCGATATCCAAAGAGCTCTAGTTCCTTCTGTTTCTGATGTCTTCTCAAGAACATCTTTTCGAAGACTATTCTCTACCTCTTTCATGTCAAATTCAACAACATACTTTGCCTTTAAGGAGTTTAACTGCTCTGATAACTTCTCTTTTTCCAGCATTTCCTTCCAAATTGCAAGCCTTTCACGCCATGTTCCTACACTTTCCTGAATTTCACCTACCATAAAAAGGATAAAGTAATTTCTATCACCAACAGACTAGGTGGAATAGAGATATATAGACAGTTGGAAGAGAATTGAATCCCCATTCCATAATTTTATGTCAATTTCTTCATGGAACAAAACATTCTTGCAGTTGAACAAATACAACAAATCTCTAGGCTAAAGATTCTAAACATTCACATAACAGGCTCTTGTTGCTCTTATACAGGTTAGAACATGACACCGTTGATACAAGAGGCTAAAATTAAACAGTCTAATGACAAACATTAACATTAATGCAATATGATCTTAGCTTCTTTAGATTATGACATGGAGTCAGTAGTAAAGACAGTTTTGGTAAGAGACGAATATGGGATTGATTATTACGCATCAGCACAGCTGGAGAAGATGGTTTAATAATATACACCAAACTTGTGGATCTCAAATTAATAAGGGAGTCATTTGATCTGCAACTATGCAAAGCCAAAATTAACGAGCCAGAACATGCATCTATAAGTTCCATGTAGACGGAAATGCACTAACCAGAGATACCCAGATCTTGGGTAAGTTTTTTCTTTGCCTCGGCCTTAAGCCTATCACTGCTATCAATTATTTGTTTGATGGATCCCTCTGTAGCTTCTGTTTCCTCATCCCATGCTCTTTCTCCAACATAAGAACTATCATGGACAAACGTTCCATCAGGCCCTTCGATGAATCTTCTCAGTTTCAAGCCTTTAGGTGTTGTCTTCCTCCAGATACCTTTCTTAAATCTGCAATGCTAGACAGAATCAGGATATTCTAAAGGTCTCGCAGCAACATCAATAACCCTACAATGGAAGCACTTACCTTTCTATGTTGTCTGGAGATGGCTCAGGGATCAAAGTCTCCATAAATGCTTCAGTTAACTCTCTTCTTTCCTGCTCTAACCGGGGAGCTTGGATCGCAATATAAACTCTTTGACAAGAAAATACCAATGCAAAAGCATATATGAACAGGGCAGCAACACGTTTAACGTCCCAGTTCCTGATGTCCTGATGCAAAATCGTTTCTTTCATTAATTCCCCCGTAAGAAATCACATTTGCTGACTATAGAAGTTTAAAGCTACATAACTACTCCATGGAACTGATTCGGGAGTGTTAAAATTAAATACAATGATACTTTCAAGTTCTAGTATACGCTTTCAGACTAAGAAAACAGTAGCCATCTCTACCCACATTAACTATAAACTTTCGTTTCCATCAATACGATCTACACAATGAAGAGATATAAAACAAATGTTGTTCAGTATTTCTGAAGATATATACAACAAAATCAAATCCTTCCATTGAAGTTTGCTATGTTTAAGAAGATTTTCAGAGATGTAGAGTAAATTGTGAGAAGTGCCAAGAGACTTTACTAAGAAGCTGAAAAAGCCTTACCTTCCAGCATTCCCACTTGTTCCAATCAACAAACCCGGGCACTACCTCAGTCCTAAACCGATTCAACTCGTCCTGACCCTTCTTAGCACCATCTTTAACTCGATCGGAGAACTGATTCGCCTTCGTACTTGCCTCTTCTGAGCCAAACCCAATTTCCTTCTTCACCGAGTCTCCGAGTTTCTGTCGGAATCGCTCCGCCCCGACCCGAAGAGACCGAGTCAACTTCACCCATGAAAACTCACCACCATCCTCAGACGACCCACTTGGACTCTCAGACGCATAGACCCAGAAAACGGGTCTTCTCCGGGAAATTCCCCGTCCATGCTTCACCGGATACCGAAGAAAGCCATGATTTTTTGGTATGTGCTTCAATGGCGTTGAGAAAAAGATAAGAGGATTCGGCTTACATGGAACTGCAGCCTCCATGAGAGAATCCAAAGGCGAAAACAGCTGAAAAGCTCGAGAGACAAAATCAATGCAAATTCGAGGAAATCATCCGTCGGGATTGTGTCCGCAGCATTGTGAGAAGTAGAACTGGATGGAAAAATTGGCACACGCAATCGAACGTCTTTCTTCTTCTTCGACGGAAAGAAGAAGAAGAAGAAGAAGAAGAAGCAGGAGTGTGTTCTCTCTTGTTTGGGGGGTTTGAAGAGGTTTATCTATCTATCAGTGTGATTTTCGGCTTGTTTGGTTCAGGAGAAGAAATAAACCATGGAAATTGTCGAAACTCATTGCTCGAGCCAATTGATTATTTACATGGGCTAGGCCCATCCATATCCTAGGCCCAACAACTTCGGGCCTCATAGTTTTGTAGGCCCAATATCTTCAGGCCTAATAGTTTTACAGGCCCAATACATTGGAGTCCATGGACCGACAAGAACGAATGAGCTTCGCATTTCGGACCGTTACTGTCGTATTTCGGACCGTTGCTGTCGTGGTGGAATCCAAAGAGACTGATCAATGGCAAAATCGTAATTATCTCGAAGATTTTTTCCTTTTTTTTTATTGATGCGTCAAGTTTACGCTGCTTTATACTTCTCGAACATTCCTATTAACCTTTCATCGTCTTCCACATTTTGCCGAAACTCTCAGATCGGTCATATCTCCTTGTGGTTCATCATCGTGAGGTTCCTCCTCTTTTCTCCCAGATTCTCCCATCCGATTTCTCTCAATTTCCCGAATCTGCTCATCTTTTTTCTCCTTTTTGCAGCATCTCTGTCTTTCGGGGTCTCTGCCATGGCGACAAA